CAATGTTATTGTATGGTCTAATTGATTATATAAATAATCTTGGATTAGATTAATTTAAAACCAATTTGTGGTGAATGAGAAAATTACTAGTACAAATTATAAGGAAAGTGGGATTTGAGTTATCCCACATTGGAAAAGTAGAGAAGTACTGAGTTGTATATATATCTAAATGTTGGGACAAAGGGTCACGCCCTTTGGGCATTCAACGTGGGGGGGGTAGGGGGGGTAGGAGTAGAACCTGGGTAGTCAGGCTTTTGACGGCGTCTTTGGTACTGGGAGTCCCACGCGGGGTCTCTTCTCCCCCATCTTCCCTTTGCTTTGAGCACGTAATACACGTCAGCATCTTCTTCTATTCTTTTTCTTTTTTTCTTTTTTATTTTTTAAACCTGCCAATGAAAATGAAAATACTAATATTCTTTATTTTGGAAAAATAATAACCCAGTTTAGGAATAAAATCGACGAGAATAAATCATTATTTAATGAGGTTATTGCAAAATATAAAAATAATAATAATAATAATGGGAGAGGTCTCTTATTGAGTCACATCTTTCAAAAAGATTTAAATAACAGCTTTTCAAGAAATCGAGGGAAATGGGATCTTCATAAAGTAATTATTATAACAAATAAACCATTATATTAAACCAAAAGAAATGCTCTCTATATATGTAATTTAATTTAAAAATGGATAAATTAAATATCCACTCATTTTCAGACCAAACAATGTAAGAAAAAAAGAAAGAGAAAGAGCGGTCTGCTCTATGCCCCTCTTTAATGTTACACAAAGAATAAATAAATTGGAGATTTTCTGCCGAGTTTTCTGACAATTTTCTACTTTTTTTTTTTTCAAAAAATAAAAATAAAATTTATTTTTATTTATTTTTTGAATAATTGCAAAAGCAAAAGGTGGTGGTTATTTATCCATAAAAAAACATGTACTTATAAAAAAAATAAAAATATGGCTGTAGGAATTAAATGAATGCAGGAATTGTCGAGTTGTGAAAGATGTTTGTGAATGCTTATTCAGACAATAAAATTAATAAATTAAATAAATAAAACTGAATCCGTACTAATGTTCATAACAGCTGATAGCGACTTACCTAAGCCACCCCCCTTCTTCCTTTCACTTTCTCTCTCTACCTTCTTCCCAATCTTCAAACCTCAATATATACATACATATATATATATATATATGCGATATATGTCAGAACGTAATCGGAATCTCCGAAAACCTTTTACCAGAACTGTCGGAAAAACAGAGCAAACGAAAATCAAGTTTTAGAGAGAGAAATAATCGAAATTAAAATCCTTGTTTAATTTAATTTACCTCTTTGATGCAAAAAATCAGCCTCACAAATCGATCAAATCAAAATCAAAATCAAAATCAGTCGATCAGCAACTGTAAAATATTCTCCTCTGCATGCATATTCAAAGCCGCCGCTGCTGATCTCGTAACTAGAACATTCTCCGGCGAGATACGCCGCCCGGCGGCGGTTTCGGAAATCTCCGCTTCTCTTAGCTTCTTCAAAAATGGCGGAAATCAATCTTCTGATTTTATCATATGTGTGTATATGTGTGTCTCTGTGTGTGTGTGTGTGTGTGTTTTTTGTGCGTGTGTGTGTGTGTGTGAAATATTCTCTTTCTCTCTCTAACCTCTGTTTCTCTCTCTAGTGTGTTTATATATAAATGAAAACAAAATATAATGAGGAGTAGAGACAAGGAAAGAGAACAAGTCTGAACCTTCTGTTGGGGGTATATATATAGACGGACGTGGACGCCGTCATCTCCCGTCGTTATCTAACGGAAATAAGAAGGAACATCCAAGCGCTGCATCACGAGTTGTACGTTGGGCTGTGCCTAGTGTACCAGGCTGCAGTTAGGGGTCAATTTTATTTGTAGGAAATTGTGTTGATTAGGGTAGACAAACCGGGCCCACCTGTCTACTTGAAGGAATTTGTGTGGCCGGGTGCATGGTAAGAATGACACGTGTCTTCCACTCGTTGGCTGGAAATTAACATGGTGGATCATTGCCAATGATGGCTCAAATTAAATTTTTTTGTGTGCTAAAAGTCATGAGTTTAAGGAATTGATTTTGAAAGATCACGAGCAATAAAATCAAGATTTGTTAATTATCTAAATTAATCAAAGATTTGTTGTTTTCAAAATTAAATTTGTTGTCTTGCATTTCTTTCAAAATATCCATATGTAACCAGCAAAAACGGTGGGGTTCATTACCAGTTTATTCTATGTTACAATCGATGAAATTCATCGGATTATGTTTAACATATACATTAGATTCATAAGTAATTTACACGTGCACATATGTATGTCCGTGATTGTGTGTAATGAAACGAGGAAAACTGCATGAAACATTGCACTACGTATAAAATCAACACGAGTGTTTTATTAACCGATAAAACATTTAAATTATCAAGGGATCGAATATGTTATACTCGGTGATGTGGCCTAATTCGGCAACCATGATGATTGCCACGTGCAAGCTCAAGAAGGTGTAACAAGGATGTAATATGTATGCAGATGGTGGACTTTTAACTTGAAAAAAATTTATGATCGAGCTAAATGAGGGAATCAAGTAGACGCAGATTTACAAGACAAGGGATATCCACGACATTTAGGAGTTAGTTACGAGATAATGGGTCCCACGAGAATCATATCATAGAGGAACACATGTCAAGAGATTCAATAACGAAACTTAACTGGACAATGATCAGCTAGAAGCTAACAATACGAGAACGAGAACCCACATTACGAGATACGTCATGAGATTCCGTAAAGAAACTTAATCGAAATGAAGTTCTAAACATTAATTACGCGACAAGTTGAATTCACGACAAAACGGATTTAATCGTAATTTGGTTTATTAGCATAAAAATAGCTAAAAGTGCATTTGACATTTTTGCCCTTATTAAATCATTATCCTTATCCAAATTCTATTAGGATAATTTACCAAAATAATTTTTTTTTTTTTTTAAATAATAATGTTTATTTGCAAACATATCAAGTAGCACGATTATTATAGAGTAAAAAGTACACAACAACAAAAAACGTGGTTCGAAGAATAGCACTTTATCATCTGCAAAAAAAAAAAAAAAGAGTAGCGATTAAAGAATCTCGATTCTTACGTGTGTTTTGTCTCTTTACCTCAAGACTAAGCAATGCCATTTTCACACTGAGAATCAGAATCATCATGCATGCATACACACATACATACAATATATATATTGCATAACAAAGACACACAATTGTACGTGCACACACACAACAAATTGTTTTGTTTTCTAATACATAGTGACTGACTACCGGCTGTGACAGTTCACTGATAACGTATCCTTGGGCAGTGATCCTCTATTTTTCACCCTCAGGTGTTACCTGCTGTTGTCGGTTGTCAGCACTGCTCTTCGTTTTGTTCTCTTACCCTGTTTTCGCTGCTCTTTTTTTTTCATTTTTTTTTAAATTTTGACACATGCATGCAAGTTATTATATATAATATTATTTTCCATAATAAATTAAAACATCTAAATGAAAGAAATTAAAATCGTTAATTGGTCGACCGATAAGGGTACATTAAAGTCGAAACGAAACTATATATGAGGGTAAATTACGGTCATCTCTGAAGTAAAGTAAAATCACAAAAAAACCCTCGTGATTGGGTAAATTACAACCAACCCTCAATTAGGAATTTTGTTACACATTCACTTTTATGGTGTCAAATTAAATTCATCGGAAACTTCTAGATTCCGTGGAATGTTCTCTATTTCGTACTCGTATAGTGCAAAAAGGCAGTTTCAGATTTACCAAAATTTGATATTTAGAAGTAAAGGGACACGTTTTATGATCATCTTATTTCAAAATGTGGAGCTCGAATAGGGTAAACCAGGTACAAATTGGAGATATTCCACATAATCTAGAAGATTCTTCAATTTGACACCGCAAGAGTGGATGTGTAAGTTGATTCATAGTTGAGGGTGTGATTGTAACTACTCAAACAAAATGGGTATTTTTGTAATTTGACATTATCTCAGGAGTTGAGGGGTGACTGTTATTTACCATATATATTATAATAAATTGGTGCTTAATTAGTGGGCAAGAACAATGTGCTTTTAGTGGGCTTTAAGCACAGTTTTGTGGTGTGTTCTTTTAGCTTTATTCCAGGGGCTAACCATCTCTTTAAGCAAAGAAATATATGCTTGGAATAACGAGACACACACAAAATTCCCATTTCAAGTTAATAATTCTCCCCCCTCTAACGAATTGAAAATTGCCACGTGTCACTGTAAGAGGGCTTAAGCTAGACAGAGAGAGGGGTCTAAATGTAAATTCATTTGAAGCTTTCTTCTTGATCTTTCTTTCCAAACTGATTGCAGCTGTTTGGAAGTTAATTTTTTGATGAGTTCAAAATAAATCAGGTGAATGAAAAACCTTTTTTGTCATACGACCAAAGCACTAACAATTAACTCCATTCTCTAGGTTAAATTTATAGCCACTAATATTATTATTACAAGCTTCCGACCAAAGAACACATGAGTAAGTTCTTTATCTTTATTAACATTGCATATACATTCATAGTTATAAAAAGAAAAGTACAATGTTGGAAGTAGTGACAGAGCCCGCGTACGACCCCCACAATATTTCTCAAATCTATATTAATTCATTTAGAAATATAATTTTTTTTTTTGCATACATTCAAATAAACGGCTCCCGAGATTTTTTTTCATACATTCTGCCGCTGCGAACCTAAAATTCTGGCTCCGCTAGTGGTTGGAAGAGTCGAATAAACTATCTTCTCCTTTTGCGTAAGTTTATGCATATCAATTTTGAAGCTCGCACAATCACTTAGTGTAAAGTAGGCAATAATAATCAAATTAAAGCACCCACAAAATCTACTAAGCTATAAATTTGAATGTAATTAATTATTAATAAAGGGTTGTTAGGGGTAGCATGAAAAAAGCATTAAAGCAAATTGTTGAAGATTAGACTTTGTTTTAACGTTAAGAATGTTCTTTTTTTTTGTGTGTAAGAAAATTGCCCAAATAGTGGATGTTTCATAACACGAAGGAATGAAAAGGTTTGGATTAGAAAAGCCAATTGTTGATCATCAACCTGTAAAGTTACCTACCTTGTGTGTGTATATATATATATATATATATATATATATATATTGATCAAATCTCAATCAATCTCTTTACCTATTCCCAATGAATCAAAATTGCTTTGATAATATGCTTTCCTTTTCAGAGTAAGTTCAAAACACTCTGCTGCTAAGCATTGTTAAAAGAAGAGAGATGTGTTAACGAATGAATACATGAGAGAGAAACAGAGTACGAAAAGATAGTATTACTACTATAATATTGTTTGTGATTAAGAGTTCCAAATTTACTTTTTTGCCCTTCTGTTTTTTTACACGATCCACGGTTCAGAATCGACGGGTTGGTTTAAACCAGTTGACTAATGGTCAACACATCTTGAATGTTGATATTCATTCTTCAACAATCAATTAAACATTCGTTAATCGATCATTCACGAGGTCGATATATAGCTCAACCCTTAGCCGGTTCATATATGTATGGGCCAATATCAATCGACTATTAGTGACACGGTCAACCAACCTATCAATCACGTATTAAGGGCTCGTTTGGTTTGAGTGAGGGTTATTGACTAATTAATCCAACTGAATCAGATGTTTGGTTAGAGTGATTAAAGCCCATGATTGATGGCTGGCCCGGTTTTTAATCCCCTACTTGAGTGATAACTTGTCCACCCAATATTGGGTGGATTACACAATCCCAAATAAATGAATACAGCTGGCATAGGGTAGTTTACACTAATACCCTCATCAATAAATTCAATTAATCAAAATATCTGCTTTTCCCACCCACTTCACACACAATCTTACCAATAACAGCAGATCCCCATTCGAACCAATTTTGTTTTTTTCCATTTTTTGCTTCACAGGTGTTCTTCAATAGACAAAGAACAATCACTGGGGTAAATTAAATCGTATACATATTTTTTTCGTTGATTCATTACATCTTCATCCCGCATTCACTATTTTTTTGAATTCGTTGAAGAATCGAACACAGGAAGAAATTATTTCATTTCCCCTTTTCTCTCTTAAAAAAATAAAATAAATATTTATTCTCTCCCTGTTACTTTTCTTTTCATTTGCCAGCTCTGCATGCTTTCTCTCTCCTCCCTATAAACCTCTTTTTTTTGTTTTTCTATACTTTCCCTCTCTAGAAAACTACCTTTTATCAATTTCGTGGAGAAAAAAAGGATAGAATTGAAGAGATCTCCCAAAGGTTTGTTGATTGAATTTATGTGTGCTATGGCTCGTTCTAGATCCATTTTCCATTTTTTTTTTAATTCGTACCTGGGGCTCGCGAATTCGTTGTTTGTTACTGGAGGAATGATTAATTTTCCATTTTCCATTTGTTAATTTTCCATTTTCCATTTTCCATTTGTTAATTTTTGATTAATTAAGGTAATTAGAGGAATGATCTGAAGATATTGCATATTTTGACATCAGAATTTGCTATTGTTGAATAATCAACCATTTTGACATGAGAATTTTGAAATGTTTGGGTTTTATTTTTTAAATGTTTAATATCCCTTTTTTTTAAGTTAGGGGTATTTTTGGATTTTTCATATAAATTTCATCCACAAGATTAAAAATGGTATTTTTAATTGAACAGTACAATCACCCATACCAAACATGGGATTAGCCACTTCAGAATAATTGTGAACAGTACAATCCTTGGATTAATTATCAATCCATGTAATCCCATCACCCAAACCAAACGAGCCCTTTATTTATTCTTCTGGAAACGCTTTTCCATTTTCTCATTATTTCAAGACACGTCCCCGAAACTTTAAAATATTTACGGAAATGACCCCAAGAAATTTTCAACAGGTGCCATGATGTTTCAGTTTTCAAAACGTGGAAACGCGTGTGTATAGAAGTTTTCGTGCATCATAGAATAACACTAACTCCATTCCGAGTGATAGGTTGTTGGGCCTATCCATATATGTTATGCTGAGTTTTTCATCCATGTAGGAACAAACTAATAGGCCCATTAAATCATTGAATTAGCCTTAATAAACTAGCTCATGTTCAATTAAAATGAATGTCTACTAATTCATATCAAGGCCCAAATAGGAAAAATTGTCTGGCCCTTGCGAAAAACCATTGTTTTTCATTCGTTAGATGAAACACTCCCGATTAACGATCGAAGAGATGCTACACCTGATGCGTTTTTTAATCGTAAATAACACACATACATATCGGTGTGTGTTATTATGTGTAGATCTATGATTCAAGATCACCCCATGTATTTCATCGAATGCAGGATCTACGCAAAAACAACCGGCACATATAACATAAACCAACATTTAAAAAAATATTAAAAATCAAGGTAAAGGGAATGTGAACAAACCATAAGAGAAGAAATGCAATAGTCTAATACTTCTTATTAGATCCACCCCAAATAGATTGCCAGAAAACAGGCCAATTCTTCTTAGCTTCATTCCAACCCAACAGTGAGCCTTCCCTTAACGGATCCCAACTAGCGGACACAATTCCGTAACTAACCCCCAAAAGCGCGGTCCCGAAGAATACAAACGACACGATAAACGGCACCCACGTTGGGATATCGATTTTCAGACCAACTTTAAGGTAGTAGAAAAATGGGAAGAATAGCAGCCCTACAAAAAGTGGGATCCCAACAGAAAGCCCTATTCTGCTCATCATTCGATTCGTTACTATCTCCGGAATAACGTCTTCTTCTCGATCGTCGTCATCTTCTTCCTCCTCTTCCTCTTCGTCTTCGCTTTCGTAATTTTTTTTCGATTTCTTCGAAATTCTTACTTTCTTTGGAGTTGGTCCAAATCCTTTGGGAGAATTTAAAGTGGCGGAAACTAAATTGAAGTGTGTTGATTTGATTTGGTTTTTGGATAGTGTGGGTTTAAGGATTGGGAATTGGGTTCTGTTTTTGGTTAAGGTTAATGAAGGTGGTAATAATGGCAAAGGAGGTGTTCTTGCATAGGTATGGATTCCCATGGTTTGGTGTGCAACTGAATTAATTTCAGTTGAGTTTTTTTTACATAGTGTTTTGAAATGGTTGGTGGGAATTGTTAGTCAATTAGAAGCTTATCTCCGTGAGAGGGAGTGTACATTTACCATTATACCCCTTAAGAATTTCTGATAGTGCTATTACTCAAAACCCCTTATCTTTCAAGTAAATGACAAGAAATAAAAATTGAAAAGTAACTACACAGAATTCACAACTTTCTTCCAAGTATAGAATTTTTTTCTAGCATGTCAAAGGAGTTATTATAAGCACCTATACAGAAATATATGTAGTGTCAATTAGGATTATTAGTTCAACTACTTTATTTTGTTTTTGGTTTTTTTTTAATCCATTGCATATAAAAAAAAGAAGAAAAAAAAAGCAGGAAGTTTTTTTACCATAGAAAGGAATGAAAGCAGTTTAACTGAGTCAGCCTTGCAAGTAGAGAAGCTTTAAGTTGCTGCAACAGACTTATCCAGCAAATTGTGCATTTCAATCCTGTCAAAAGAGAACATTGGCGAGAATTTAATGTACCGATCGTATTGATCAAGTTCTGATTTATGACAGGCAATGCTTAAGTATCGGAACAGAAAGTATTTCAATGGTAGATGGTTATATTTAACATGGAAATCATCGTCAGCTAGGAGTATGTACCACCCGGTGTGCAACTCGTCACTGTCGTTTCATCTTGGTACGCAAACGAAATAAAATGGCAACTTTGTATCCTATTTTCATCTTTCAACTCATTCTAGATATAGTTTGAGTTAATTAACAAAGGTATAATTAACTTTAAAATGAACTGTAGACAGTGTAAGTACTAAATTAAAATCGATATATCCATGGGAGAAAGCTATTTACCATACAGCCCTTCACATTGAACCAAATCATGTAATGGGATCATTTATTTTAAGTCCATGCAATAAGTAATGAAATATAATACGGTTAAAAGCTGTGCGAATTTCATATTGAGTTTTCAAGATCAGGATTTAAAATATCTGATACAAAGGTTTAAATGCAAGTGAGCACCACTAAATTTGCACACAATTAACAAAAATTACAAAATGACCAGAAAAGTTGAAGGACTCCTTACCTAGGAACTTTCAGATAGTATGTCAAGCTGCAGTCGATGGGATGCCAAAACGGCTCTGAAGTGAAGCAATGCCTTTCTCAGAAGTTTTTGCAAGCTCGGGAATAGATGTTTTGAGAACTGAAACTCTCGAAAACAAGAAATAATTAATTAGACTTGAAATCTTATTTTTCTTTATCAAATTATGCCAGACAATGAACTTTATACAATGTGGCCGAGAAGATATGCAGCATTGTTGGACTACCACTCGAACTTATCAAGTGCTTAGTTAAGCTAGTTGAACGATAATTCTTTATTTACTTTTTGAAGTTTCTAGCAAAATAAACCACAAATTCTGCGAGAGAGAGATGCTAAATCACAATAAAAGGAAAAAAAGACAGATGGTTGGACTTCAACTGCTTGTCAGACATGAGTAAAATGATATTCTTAAGTTCATTTTTATTAAGAGATAACAAACTTACGGCGAGATGCAGTGGCTTGTGCTTCTGCTATAAACTCTGTATATGAAGCCTGAAACGAAATCCACAGGTAAGATAGACAGATGTCAAGATATAAAAGGAATCTACCTGGAACAAGTTAGACATTGAAATCGAGCACCAACCTTCATTGCTTCTCTACCTTCTTCGATACGATCAGACATCTTCTTATATTCTTTTTCTGCCTCGTTCATTACTTGCTCACATGCTTGACTCTGTATCTGTTACGAAAACAAAGATGCACACACTTTCTCCTATTATATTGGAAACACGAGATAATAGAAAATTTAGGACACATATTCAAGCAAATGTCAGAATCCAGGTCCTACATAAGTTAACAAAAACAAATTAAAGATTTAGACAGGGCAGAAGTACGATGTAACAATGTTTCTATAAAGAAAGATGTCTAACTAGTTTATTGTAAACCTCCACAGATACATATACTATCATGCGTAAGAATAAAAATAAACTACAGCCCCTCTTAATTAACTCAAACAGAGAATAATGGCTGTTTACTTCCTGAAACTTCAGTGAAGTTTATGATTCACATGTTCATCTCTGATGTTCAATCACATGCATACAACACGATAACTTCTGCAAATTGAGTTTATGCTCTCCACCAGTACTGGTTTATAATCTATTGTATAGATCCATCGAAAAAGTTACATCTATACTCAACATCATATAAACACACAATTTATCTCTTATTGTTCAGTTCTCTGAAAAAAATGAAAAAAAAAAAACAGAAACAGAACTAATGTTCATCTCTGCCTCCATAATCCAGAAATCGAGACAGTTAGCAAGACAGGATGCAATTACAAGATGCTCTGTATAGTGTCAAACATGCTTTACTATACTCTTCTCGAACACAGTATATCAGAGATCTTCATGGAAAACTTCACATTCTAAGTTCATAGCACAACTTTTTAACTTTCTTACACTTCAAATCTAAAGACATGTATAGTTACGGCTTTCTGCTTGATTATATAAACTATGAAATCATTTTATTCCAGAGCATCATATGCATAAGCATTGAGTATCTTCAAACTGCCAGCCGAAAACATAATCGTAAATAAATAGCACTTCAAAAACAGGGGTGAAGAGCTTTGTTCAAAAACCGACCAGGTTCTTTATTATTCGACAACGAAGAATCGTAATAAGAAATTAGGCATTTATATTACAGTCTACAGATATATCTCAGATCGCAGGTACAGATCAAACAAATATGAGTCATATTAACAATTTGCAGAATTAATACGGAATGAAGCATAATAATTTCCTAATTTCGCAAATGATAATCATATATTCATATCAGAATCTAATTTAAGGACGTAACAATAAAACAAAAGCCAGGCGCAATAAAGAAATTTAAATCTACAGTAATCAAATTGTACTTAATCGCCACATATATGTAGATTATGTAGATCGTAGAGAGAGAGAGAGAGAGAGAGAGAGAGAGAGAGAGAGAGAGAGAGAGAGAGAGAACCTTGAGGCGCTTCTGAAGGCGACACTGAGACGCATCAACATCCTTCAAAATCTCTGAATGAGATCTTTCCAGCTGGAGCTTGACCGATTCCAGGTTAGAGGACGCCAGATCTTTCAGATCCGAAATCGTGTTTAAACTTTTGAGCGACCGCTGCGGCGGCGGTGACGTGGAGAATCGAGTAGGCTGCATCCTCTTCGAACCTGATGCGCCTGCGCCGCCATTTTTGTTGCTCTTCTTCTTCAGTGACGCAGCGATGTCAGCGAATCCATTCAGATCGAAATCGAACTTTGCCGCGGGAGACTCGGCCGGTGATGGAGTGGGGCTCCTGGTCGCCGCTGCTGTAGCCGACGGCGGTGGGGGAGGTGACGCTAGAAAATTGGCTGCTGATGATTTCTTCGTTGCTCTTCTCCTCATCTCTCAATTTTTCTCTTCGGAATTTGCGATCTGTTTGTGGGTGATTTTCCGTAGAGTGAGAAACACGGTGAATTTGTAGAGGCGCCAAATTTCTGAGATTTGAAAAAAGTTTGTAGAAGGGGAATTAAAATGGGGATGGCCGCTGGGGCTGCATACGGTGTCGTTTTGTATGATTTATAATCATATAGAATATTATTTTTAATTTTTAATAAATAAAATATATATGGTAAATTATGAACTCACGAGGTAATGTCAAATTACAAAGAACCCCTTCATGTTTAGGTAATTAGAACTATTCGTCAACCATAAATATTCTTACACGTCCACTCTTAGGGTAACAAATTCAACATAATCTTTTAGATTTCAGTCTCTGGTTTGTACTCGTTTTGTGCAGAAATGCAGTTTCTGATGAACCACAATCTGATAAGTACAAGCCGAAAAACATATCTTATGATCATCTTACTTCAAATATGGAGATTGAATGAGATAAAACGGGTACAAACTTGATAATATTCCATAGGCTGCGGCTATATGCAATACTCATTCCACTTGTGCAAGACCAAATTAAAGAAAGATTCTAAAAGATTCTATTTTATTAAGATGGAATGACAAGTATGCCCATAAATTAAATTGTGTTTTTTTTCTCATGTAAGACCAAATACAAATAATGAGAAAAAAAAATCGACACCAAGGTGTCGAAAAACTATGCTATAAAGCGACACTTAAGCGTCGAATTTAATAGGTAAAAATCGACATTGACATGTCGAATTTATAGCACAAATTCAAATGTCGAATTTTATACCTCAAAATCGACATCTAAATGTCGAATTTTATACCTGAAAATCGACATCTAAATGTCGATTTTTACCTGTAAAATTCGACATCTACATGTCGAATTCGTCTGCGCGGGATTTTTTTTGGAAAATCGATATTCTAGCTAAAAAGCCCCTTAAATGCATACATTCTTGGGTTCTTCCATTGTAGAATCTTCTATTTTGATGTCTTATGACTCCATACTTGCCATCTTTGTAAGATTTGTTGAGTTTTGATGATTTTGAATTTCTAGGTTTTGTGGGTTAATGGAGGAGGAAGGAGAAAGGTCTTGTGGGTTTTGGAAGATGGAGAAGATGATAGTTGGTCTTGTGATAGAGTTTTTTGTGTTTTTGAATTTTTGGTCTTGCATATTTGGATTTTTTTTTATTTTTTTAATAAATAAGGGTATTATAGTATTTATACATTGAAAATTTTAATTTGATCTTGCACAAGTGGAATTAGTCTTGCATATAGCCGCAGCCTATTCCATATAATCTCAAAGATTTTACTAAATTTGACATCACGAATGTGGACGTATAAGAATATTTATAATTAATAGATAATTGTAATGACCCAAACAGAAGAGAAGTTTTCATAATTTGACCTTATCTCAGCGGGTCCTCGTAAAATCGTGTGGCTTACAAGAAATATATAATTAAAAAATAATAGTATTGAATAATGAGCGGGTGGGCTTAATCGGATCATCTAAATGTGGACCATTATCCACATTTATCATCAAAGATTTGTACGAAGTCGGGTCGGGTCCAACTGCAGTGCGGGCCATACAGTTTCGCCCAATTTCAGCCTCAAATCTTCAAGTGGGAAGAAACTGAAAAGTGAAAACAACTCCGCTGCTTATCCATTTTACAATTATACAGTGGCCATGAATGCTTGAGCCTGCAATTCCAGGTTTTTCCTTTCAAGATTTTCTGCTAATATTATCGTAGATTTATTAGATTCTAGATTCATCAACGAACAAATGCCGTTATTGCACGTAAATTTGCCGTGGTTGTGTTTTTAGTTGGATTTTTGTTCGTGCACACAAGGTGTTTGATGCTGGTTCTCTGTGTATGAGTAAATGCATAAGTTTGTATCTGCACGTGTCTTGTGTGTGTTTGTCTGTTTTAATACACAAGAATTAATCTTGACAAAAACGAAATAGTGATGATTATATTTCTAATTGATGCCTTTGTTATCGAAGAGAAAACTTATTATGCAAGTAAATAGTGCTAATTGTTGAATCATCACGCAGTTTTTATGGTCTGTAAATTCATTCATTCTTTTTTTAGTTTGAATTTTCGGGTAGATATGATTATAAAGGGAATTTTCAAGAGATACGAGAGGTGGAATCCCGTGCATCCGACATACGGAGCCTTTTGGGGTATCGGAGTAGGCATCGGCTGCGGCATAGGTTGGGGCCCAGGCTTCGGCCCTGAAGTAATCGGCTACGTCGGAGCTGGCTGTGGTGCCGGATTTCACATCGGGATGACTTTGCTCGGCATCGGCATTGGCTTTCCCGCCAGTTATCTACTTACAGTTCCTCACAGTGGTACCTAACACACTTGAATTTATATCTTTATCAAAACAAAAAAAAAATAATAATAACTCCGCGTGCTTAATTGCGTTAACTCGTTATATTTGTTGTAGCTTTTATGGCGACAAAGAAAGGCGCACTCGATTTTGCTCAAACCGGGATTCGGAATGGAAGCAGAAGTAGTAGTGCAGGAGATGGGTGGGATGAAATTAATTCACATAATATTCCCGGTGTAGGTCAAAGTCAAAGCGCATCGTTTTCAGGTTTCGAGTACGATAATTCGACGGAGAACCAAAGAAGTTTGGCTTACGTGAAGAGCATGTTGGTTCCCCGGGCTGAACATATTACCGGCTGTTTGCAAAGAGTCAGTGGCGGCTTCTTTCCTAGGGATAGAGGTACGATGCAATAAATTATTATTTGTTAGTTTTTTTTTTCTCTGATGGAAATGGATTGAGTATATCTGATAGAGTTACGATTAGATATATAATTGTCGAGCTTTAGTAGAAATATTATCGTTCCTTATCGACGTGCATTCTCTTTACGTTTCTTGCAGGTTCTAAGAGCTGACTAGACGACCCTTATACGTTTCCATTCTGCAGAGATGAAAATCAATTTAATGCAACATTCTAGTTGCTAGGAAACGAATCTCGGAAATGGGGGCAGAATTGGAGCGGCCCCCATTGCTACTAGGGCTAGGAGAATGAGTCTCCGAGCGGTGATGGCGATTTTGTAATTTATACTCTCCATACTCGTCATCAAAGTGATTGCGATTTTTTAATGTATAATCTTCGTGATACTCCCCAAAGTCGTGATCATCCTACAAAAAAACCCAATTTCGATTTCGAGTGTAATGCATAAAATCCATAGGGGTAGTACTCTCCGAACCCGTTATCAGACTCACAATCGTCGTTGAAGTAATTCAATTTTGGATCTCCAAACTCGTTGTTCACAAAGTGAAAAGGGGTTTTATAACTTTTATTAGGCTCACTTGCCCTAAATCGGCCGGAGTTCAATTAGACCCTTCATCGTCTAATTGAAGAAACTGTATATTCGTATTTCAAGTTACACAAAAAAAAATCTACGACAGAATGTGCGTTGATATAAAGTAGGGGTGAAAGTTGGAACGAAATTTCCAATTTCCAATTTCTAGATGTATGCATATATCTAGAAAAAAATGGCGAAATAAACGGGAGGTATAATTTCCGGAATGGTTCTAAAGGAGACACTGTCATACGTATCCTGGCTGTACTTGACCGCGATCGTACGCATATCATCTGAGCCGTTTTTCCAATAACAGAATCGATGCGAATCCGTCACACGGTCTTGTAAATCTGACGGCTGATAGAGCGTGGAGTGCTGCAGTGTCGCATTCCAAGGCCTTTCCCATGGAATAAGAATACAAAGAGCCAAGAAAACCGAAGAAGCCGCCACCATAGACGGCAAATATCTAGTCATACCGTACGATATAAGGGATAGCTCCGACAATTAATTAGCCATGCTCTCCAAACTCTCGATCCGAACCCTAATTATCCCGCCTAAATACGCCACCCTCACGTATCTGTCCAAGAAACTTCTTCAAGTGGGGCCCGCCACGTCGTAGTTTCGGAACTTCAAAATCAAGTCTTCCGTTCTGATGATGTCATAGCGGGAGAAGATGCCGCCGCTGCGGTCGATGAATCCTTTGAAATCGAATTTGGATCATCTGATTTCTAGGTTTCTCTGTCAACCGCGGTTGGACTTGGAGCTGATCTGGGCTTCTGATGGCAACGGTCGAGGTAGTTGACCGCCAGGTGGAGGGTGTCCGGGTGGAGACCGAGGCTGTCCGCCATGTAGACGACGTGTTCGACGCAATAGGCCTGGTCGACCGCACTGATGACGTGGCGCTGGAATTTGTTGATGTAGCCCGTGAGGGGTCTTTACTCAAGTTCTCTGGTGTGTAGGTTCTTGTAAAGATCCTCGGCAATGTCTTTCATGCTTGGGTTGTCTTCGTTGATGTCGACAGCTGTTTTGTGATGGTCGGGGCGCGGTGCGACCGTGGATGAAGGGATGAACGGGGATGCAGGGCCCATGTTGTTGCTGCTGCTGCTGACGTCAGCAATATTGATGGTGTAATTATCAATTTGAATATTGTTGGGGAGGGCGGGGGTTGGGGATCCAGGCGGTGGTAGGCTATTTCTGACAACCCGTTTGCGGCGGTGGGTTCTTGCAGGCGCCATATATCATGGAGTATACAGGTGATGAAAAATTTCTTCAGGGTTTTCAATATTGTAGACGAATGTTATGAGTATTGCATTTGTGTATGTGCATGTGTATATATAATATATAGATACGTATTTCTAAGAGAGAGAGAGAGAGAGAGAGGTTGTAGAACCAGAATTACGTATGAATTGGGACAATTTAGAGACAATATAGCCTGCCTTTTCAAATTCAGTTGATCGTCTAATATTACTCATCGATTCGCTCTTGGACCGATAAACGAGCCGATCAACATTTCACTTTCCGGAGCAGCACCATGAATATCCGGCAAATCCGAACTCACCGAAAACCTTAGCAAACCCTTCTTCTCGATGTACTTCATCAACGGTTGAAAAACCAACCCAATTCCAACACAACCAACACTCACGACAAAAACCTTTAGCGTCGAAAAAGCCAACACAATGCACATCAAAACCATCGGAGGCACACAAATCAAAACAGCCCCCACCTTCCCCACGGGCACCTTATAAGGCCTCGGTGCAAACGGAGCTTTAATCCTCAACCACACAAACGCCGTAAACTCCAACCCCATTCCAAAGCAGTACAAAAAATTCTCCGCCGCTACAATTTCTTGAAAGCTCATCCAAGAAAGCATAAGCACACCAGAGGCAGAAAAGAGAATTCCGACTAGAGGTGTACCGTAGCGTGACCGCCTGGCGAAAACTTCCGGAAGCATCCCTCGTTCGGCCATGCCGAGTAGCTGGAAAGAGTCGGCGCTCATCTCCGCCACAAACATGCCCATGTTGGCCATTGCTGCCGCCGCCTGAATCCACCAGCTCAGCCACGCTCCTCCGATCAGTTTAGCCACCTCCGAGAAGTAACCGTCGGTCCATAGCTCTCGATTCAGGGGAATAGCACCTGTTCCGGTTAATAGAGGGAGGAAATACGCGAGAACAACAAGAATCATCGCGTAAAGCAGAGCTTTCGGCAAGTTTTTCTTCGGATTCTCTACTTCTCCTGCAAGTAGGATAAAAAATCAAATTAATCTTACTGATTCGGGATCAGGTCATTAAAAGCTAGATTTGTTAACATAACAGGGATTTTGAACACAAAATATTCGTTCCATAACCTATGAAGTTCAGACTCGCGCTCGATTAGGAAAGAAAAATAATAAATATGTGAAAAAAAAAAATCAAGATACTCGAGCTCGATTCGAAATTCGGCTCGATTAAAGCTCGAGTCGATTGCTTATCAAACCAAGCTCAAACACAAAGTTTAAAGCTCGAATATGAAAATGAAAAAAAGCTTAAAAGACCATGCGCCCAAAATACTTGATTCATTTACACCCGTACCTGCAAGTGTACTTATCGAGTCCCAATAGTTGAGATTCCAAAAAAGAGTGTTTAGATACAAACTCCAGTCCACAGCGTGTATATCACCAGCTAACCATCTCTGAGGCTTCATCTTAGGGATCGAAACGAAGCCCATTACAGCAAAAGGGAGAATCGAGAATATCCCGATCACTACAGCCGCCCACCCAACAATCGACAGACCTCTGTAGTTCAAGTACGTTAAGACAATCGTCAGTGCAAGAACCGCCGCTACCCGAGGAAGACCGCCCCCCAATGCAGGGATCCCTGATTTGAGATAATCAAGAAACAGAACAGGGTAAAGCGCATTATCGACAACTCCACTGATCCACTTCATAAACCCTAGCTGAAAACCCCAAAATGGTCCTAAAGCAGAGGAGACCCAAACAACGTAGCCGCTGTTTTCAGGAAACATTGTGACCATCTCTGCTGTTACTAGGGCTTCTGGAACACTCCAGAACAATGGGAATATCAGAAACCCTAAAAGTGCGAGGAGTGGTCCGGCGGCTTTCACGGAGTCTTCGACGCCAAAGGGTCCGCCTGACACCTCGTAAAATATGATGAAGATTAGGGGTATAATCGAGATTTTCCGACTGCCGCCGGCTCTGGGAGAAGGGGTTTCGTTGCTCCAGGTAGAATTAGCGCCGCCGCCGCCGCCGCTTTCTGCCGCCGGAGTACTACTTTCTGCATCCCTCAATTTCTGCAATTAGTGGTATCAAATCGCCGGAATGAGAAAGTTATGTTTGAATGGGTGATTAAACCCTAAATTGAGTAGAGATCGAGAAAAGCGTTGAAACAGAGAGAACTTTCTAAAAAAATTCAAGCAAAATCGATTTACATATGAATCTGCGTACATGTGTGTGCGAGTGTGTGATTTGTACCTTGTGGTGAGTGTGCAGTGATGGTTGTACTGTACAATCATTAGCAGCAGATGGATAATCAGAAACTATTTGAGCTGTAGGAGAATCAAAATCACCGCCAAAACTGCGTTTTGCTTTTTCTTCTCTTGGCACCATTGTTGGTGGGAAGGAATATTCATTCACGAGAAAATATTCAACATATATATGCAAAATCACTGTATCTATTTATTTATTTTAAAACTGAAATTAATTTAATCAATGGAAGTTTGAGAGGGAGCAATGGAGAAGAGGAAGATGAGATTCAAAAAGATGCGAATTTTTCAGTAGTCAACGTCGAGATTTCAAATGTTTTTGTTTAAATAATATTTTTGAATTTTTTTTAAATGGAAAAATGAGTTTTTTTAGTCCAAGTTTACTAGTCAATTGGTGTGCAATGACTAGGAGTGAAAGTCGAATGAATCGGATCGGATCGGATCGGAATTAGACTTTCTGGAAAATTTTCAAAAAAATTCATAAGTGCAAAATCAATTCCATTTCAATTCCAAAATTTTCGGAATCTAAAAGTTGTTCCATTTTCAAAAAACCCGGAAATTTCGGAATTTCGAAAAAAAAAATCGGAAATCACATAAACTTTAAAATTTCAATACTTAGCCGAATATTTCTAAAATGTTCATAACTTATCAAAATTAAGAACATCTACGTCGATAAAAGTAAAACTAATAACTACTAAATTTCAGTTAAAAAAAGTAAATAAAAATAAACATAACATAATATCCAGTAAAACTTCTAACAAGAATTCATTATGTCAAAATCCTAAAACAAACTTATAGATGTATTTTTCGGAAAAATAAGTATTGTATAGTATATATTATTATAAGTGTATTTTTTGGAAAAAAAATGGATTTTTTCGGATTAATTCGGATCGAGAATCGGAAATTCCAAATTTATTTTATATAATACCAAATTCAATCCAAAAGAATTGGAAAAAATCAGAAGTCGGAATTTCAGAAGTCAGAATAAAAAAAGTTTTCCCAAAATCGAAACTTTTCGGATTGGAACCGGCGAAAATTTGAAATTCCTTCACAACTCGCACCCATAGTAATGACTATAATATCATTGATGACGTGGCTATTTTGCTTCCTTCAAATAATATTTAACACTTACCCCTCAGTATTACCTTTGATACTTATCCCGTCACACATTATTCATTTTTGTGTCTTAAATACCTCTCAACTTTTATTGGATTGAATAATTGAAAAGTAATTTAATTAATTTATCAATGATATTAATTGAAAAGTCAATACACCTTCCTTAGATATAGAGCGAAGCTTGAGAGTTTTCACTAATCTGATGACAATATTTTATAATTAGCAATGGATTACTCTAGTTGTTGGACGGATTTAGATCGCTCATGACGGCGACGACGGTACTTGGACGACGAGTTTGCGGCGGCCTGGCATGGGCGACGGGGAACGGGAAGGGACGGGGTTTCAGGAGAGGCGTTTTTATTTTATTTTTGCAAAATACTTGATCAATCATTTAGTGTTGTATAAACAAACAAAGAGTAATTTAATTAATATAAAAGATGAATTTCAGATTGTAGTGTATCAGAAATTGGATTTGCCACAAAATGAATACAAACTAGAGAACATTTCACATAATATAAAAGATTATGTTTAATATGACACCATAATGGTGGATGTGTAAGAAAGTTGAGGAGTAGTTGTAATTATCCAAACATGAGGGGTTTTTTCGTAATTAAACCATAACTCATGGTGGAAATGAGACCCATTAGCAGCCCATATGGCCCATTGGGCTGGAAATGATATACACGGTATATAAACCTAACTCCAACCTAATCTTCCCACTTTCTCAATCTCAATCTCTCCCTCAAAACAGAGAATTTCTCTTTTCCCCCTCAGTCTCAATCTCTCTTCTCTCTCTCTCTCTCTCTCTCTCTCTCAAAACATTTTCAGCAGCCGTTCTCTATCAAAACAACAGAAGCCATGGCAAACAGCTTCTTTGTTAGCCATTTTTCTTGGAATTCCTGTGAAGATAAAGAATTAATGGAAAATAAATTTTTTGTTCTTGCCCTTGTTCGTATGCTCCTGAGCCACGTGGCCACGCCGCCAAGCCCCGCCAAGCCGCCTCGCCGCCAAGCCCCGCCAAGCCGCCTCGCCCCAAGCCCATTTTCAGCTGGGCAAGCCCATTTTCAGGAGGCCGAGGCCAAGCCCATTTTCACATTTGCACGAGTGACGGTATTTTAAAAAATAAATATAAATAGTACCCGTTTTAGACGCTTCCCTCTCTCCTCCTTTCAAATTCCGCTCATTTGATCTCTCTCATTCCCCCAATTCCAATTCCGTTCTCCTGCTCTGATTCCTCACAAACCCTACCCTTAAATCTGAGGTATGATCTGTAGTTTGAACTTTTCTATCCAGATTTTTTTGCATGTTAATTTTCTACTTTTACTGATTTTGTTCTTTTTCCCTCTGTACTCCCTGCTTCTCTGTACTCGCTGCTTCTCTACTCGGTACTCGCTTCTTCTCTCCTTGGTACTCGCTGCTTCTCTCCTCTGTACTCGCTGCTTCTCTTCTCTGTACTCGCTGCTCCAGAAGAGGTACGATCTCGAATTTTTACTTCATTATTCTGCTGATTTTTTTGATGTATATCTGATTTTTTTGACTCGGCATTGAATTAGGATATTCTGTAGATCGTTGTGATACTACGTGTTTTAGTTTTTCTCATTGTTGATATTTGAATGCAGTAGGTTTTGAATTAGGATTTTGATGTATATTGAATTATGATATTCTGTAGATCGTTGTGATACTACGTGTTTTAGTTTTCCTCATTGTTGATATTTGAATGCAGTAGGTTTTGAATTAGGATTTGCTCTGGATTTGAATTCAATAGGATTTGAATTAAATTTTCCTGCAGTAGGTTTTGAATTAGGATTTGCTCTGGATTTGAATTCAATAGGATTTGAATTAAATTTTCCTGCAGTAGGTTTTGAATTAGGATTTGCTCTGGATTTGAATTCAATAGGATTTGAATTAAATTTTCCTGCAGTAGGATTTGAATTAGGATTTGCTCTGGATTTGAATTCAATAGGATTTGAATTAAATTTTCCTGTAGATTGTCATTGTTTTTGTACAAGGTTTGGTTCTCTGATATTTTATGGTTAATTTCTACTTACTGATTTGCCTATTTTTTTTTTTCATTTTTTCACCTGTTTTGATGTATCAACAGTCATGTCTAAAAACGAGTCCAATCCAAACACCATTGAAGAACCACCAGTGACACCATTGAGTGAGGAGATTCAAAATTTAATTAATGAACCTCGAAGCATTCCCTCAATGGAGGAGTTGATTGGAACGGCACTTCCTACTCCTCGTTCGTAAGTAAATTTTTGTATGAATTAAAACATGGAAATTTTTACCTTGGTTAGGTTTTTTACTTGCTTGAACATTACATTTTGATTATTTGAGTTCAGTCTTTCCTTGTTTTTTGACTGGAATTTTTTTCCATATTCTGCTTGTTTTTAATAAAAGATAGAAACTATAGCTGCGTTTGCCTTAACTTAACATAATAATCTCCTCCAACTTCAAAAAAGTAAACGGACTTGAAACACTGTGTGTTTTTATCTCAGTATAATACTAAGTGTATGATTTTTTTAATAATGTTTCCTGTTATTTTTACAGATCCTCAACGTTGATGACTCCATTGCAAAATCAGCAGACACTTCCAAGATCTGACACTACAAAGGTGCCAAACCCTTCTGTTCATGAATCGTCAACAGCTGCGATACGTATAGACACGGGTCAGTTGAATGTTGATCCTAGTCAAGATGAACAGAGAAAGCGGAAAGGTGCTTTTGGTCCTGTTCCTCGGGAAGTACAGCAAAAACGAACCAAGGAAAGAAGTGAGGGGTCCATTCAGACTAAATCTATTGGGTAATTATTGATTTACCTCTATTTTGCTTATTATTTTACTAGTATTGTTCAAGTTTTCTTCTGTGTTGAACATGTTGCATTGAAAGCATTGAATCATAATAAAAATTGATCCTATATTTTGTGTAATTATTGATTTACATCTATTTTGTGTACTTACTTTGGAATGAACAGTTCGGATTTATCATCTCATATAGCACGAACTGGCAGATATACAGTGGAGGCTCCTATTTTTTCTTCTTCAGTGCCTACTCTGTAAGTGAAAATATGTTGCGCTGTTCACATTTTTCTTCTTCGGCGCCTTTACTTTTTGCCTTGAGTTTTGATTTTATGAATGCTTGAAAATTAGATTTTAATTGGTTGGGAACAATTTTGCTTTGTTTGTATGTCTGAACATAAAGATTCCTCCAACTTCGAAGATAGTAAATAAACTTAATGTTTCCTTATATTTTTACAGTACATCAATGGAGTATTTTATACCTCAAAATCAGGAGACAATCCCACCATCTCTTACTACGGACGAAGTGAACCCTTCTGCGCAGAAGACTACATCAGAGTCTAATAAAACTGAAGCTCCCGGGTAATGACTCTTACTACTATTGCGCTGTACACATTTTTTTTCTTCTTCAGTGCCTTTATTTTTTGCTTTTAGTTTTAATTTTATTAGTGCTTGAAAATTAGATTTTAATTGGTTAACATTTTTGCCTTATTTGTATGTCTGAACATAAAGATTCCTCCAACTTCGTAGAAAGTAAGTACACTTAATGTTTCTTTCTATTTTTATAGTACCTCTACGGACACAGGGAACCCTTCTGCGCAAAAGACTACTTCAGAGTCTACAGAAGCTCCCGGGTAATGATTCTTACTACTAATTTATTTTTTCTTCAGTCGTGATGAATAATGTGTTTTCTTCAATGGTGAATCATAATATAAATTTGTTCCTTTATATGATGGTAGGTTAACGGACTCTCCTCCTGCTGAAACTCCGGTTCCGATATTGTCAACTTTTATTAAAGTTCCTGTTGAAGCCCTTGGGAATTTCGACAAAGGAAGAGCTGATTGCTGGGTTGAGTTGCTTAAACATGCCTCTATTATCCGCCATCCCCAGCCCCATTAACCAAATTCTGTCGTTCGAAAACCTGTTTTCTTGTTTGTAACTGAGCATTTGTTTGTAACTGAGCATTGTTGATTTTCTTATGTTTGATACATTTGTAAATTTTACCTAGACTATTCTGCCTTTCGAAAACCTGTTTTCTTGCTCTAAACTGAGCACAGTTGATTTTTTTATGTTTGATACATTTGTGAATTTTACCTAGACTAATAATACTTGCTTTTGGATCTGTTATTGCAGTAAGCATGAGGTTTTATGCACGTAATTTCCTATTATTATTATTGTTATTATTATTATTATTTTGCTAAATTAACAGGAATTTTGATTATCTTTTGGGTATTAATTTATAGAGGTTAAACTAAATTTTGATTCAAAATTGGTGGTAATTATTAGCTAGGTCTTGGACTGTTCCTCATACTTGTTGCTAAGTTAATTAAATAAAATATTTGATTTATTTGAATTTGAATGATTTAGTTAGCCAGTTAGGTGATGAGAATGTTGACCAAGCCAAGTACGAGGAACAGTCAAATTCAAATAAATCGATTTATTTTTATTTAATTAAACTATGTGAATTATTTCTCTTCGGCCCAACTTTACTTCAAATAAATCGGTTTATTTTTATTTAATTAAACTAAGGCAAATTTTGCCGCTCACAATTTAGCTTCATGGTCTTTCTCGTCCAAATGGAGTGGTTTTATTCATAGTAATTGTATTCCTATTTTTTGCTTCTGTGACATTGTTTTTCCTCTTGTAGACTTTTTATTTCCTTCGTAGTTATATATTAATTTTCTCATCAAAAAAAAAAAAAAAAAAACTAAGTCAAATTCATATGTAAAGAATTATTTCTCTTCGGCCCAACTTTACTTTATAAAAGTACGATTTATTTCGGTGTTATTTGGGATGGAATTAGAGAAATTATATTGTTTTATAGGGTAAATTCCATTTTTTTCTTTATACTTTGGCTCGTATCACTTTATCTCCTTTTACTATTGATTATATTATTTTGCTCAATTTACTTAAAAAATTGTCTCAACGTGACTTCGGCGTAAGTCTGAAAATTAAAAAGAACCACCCCTTTCAATTTAAATAATTATTAAACAAATAAAAAATGAAATTGTGGATGGCATTGTGGACTATGTTTTCTCGTTGTCTTGATTTTTTTTTATTATATATATATATATATATATATATATATATATATATATATATATATATTATTTTTATAAAAATTATTTAAATTAGAGAGATGGTGTTTTTGTAATTTCAGAGCTTAGATAGATCAAACGGTGGAATTTACCCTATTATATATGATTTTTTTTTCTTTTTTTATAATGATATTAATGTATTATTATGATTTGCAGTTGTATGAGTTTCAATGTATAACGCATATGTAAAGTTGGGCCTAAGAGAAACAATTCTTTAAAGTAAATAATTAGTTGCCACGTGTACTATAAATAAATAAATAAACCTAGTCCTGTCATATATTGAAAGCGTTTACCCAAGAAAGAATCTAGGGCTGCCTCCTATTCTCCGTTTCACGCAAGGTTGGTATTCTGTGCTTTTTAATTTCTTACTTGTTATAAATCTGAAATATTGTGGTTTGTTTGATTATGAACAAGTATTATATTATACACATGATTTTGTTTTTGCCCCAAATTTTATATTTATAATTCTGAGTCTATAAAATTCTTGTATTATCCCCAAATTTGGTTTCTTTTGCATATAATTACTGGGTTGTTAATAGTAGTTATTAGCATCATTCAATCTTTTTATAATTATGAACAAGGTTGTAAAATACAGGAATCGGACCCAAGTTGGTTAGGTCACCTCACGATTAATCGGTGTTGCGCGGCGGTGGTGATAAATCGGTTTTTTTAAGTTTTATGTAATATAATTTTAGATATTTTTTTGCAAATACTTTAAATATATTAAATATGATTTTATCCCCATCATTTATATTTAAATATATATTAAATATGATTTTATCCTAATCACATTTTAATAATAATAAGATCATAATATAATAAAAATTCTTACAAAATAAAAATAAATTGAAAATCTTGTTCATCCAAAATTATATTTGAACATTGGAAGCATATATCATTAGGTCCTAAAAAAAAAAGTAAAATTAACAAAATAAAACAAAGCATAAACTTATTTCTAAATGCCCAACTTTTCGTTTTATTTAAAAAAAAAAGAAAAAAAAAAACTGATTTTTGTTTGACCCGCCTCCAAGGTTTACCGCAACCCAACTCGGACCGCCTACAACCGCCTCACTGGTAAAAACCGAAACCGATTTTTCAGACATTTAAACTAAAATTGTAAAGTTTTTAGACCGCCTTCGCCCCAGAGACCGATTAATCGACCGCCTCGACCGATTTTTAGAACACTGATTATGAGTAGTAGTTGGATTAGCCTTGTGTTTAAGTGGAATCAACATTACTCTAAAATTTCCTTCTTTTTTACTTATTTTTCAAACAAATCATGTTTCGAACAGGAAAAAAAAAATGTCGTCGGTAAGTTCGAACATTGCCCACCTCCAGAAGTTGATGGAATCATATATCTCTCACATGGCCAACAATATCGGGCCATTTGCCATGCAAGCCATACAAAACCACCCTTACTCGAATGAAGTTGAACAACACAATGAAGGGCTCGTGAATATGTCGCCTCAAATCGAGCAGAAGGTGGTTTTAGAGTTTCGTAGGATGGCCTACCTCATGGCCTACCTCCTTAGGGCATACTCACAAGAAACAACTCTTAGTCGTCTCCCTGGAGCGAGAGCTAACGTAGAGATGTTGAGGGCCCACGAGCAAATATGGCCCGATGTTCCCGTCTTACAACAAGCCAAGGCTTCCAGTGAGTTCTTCCTACAACATACGCTCAACTCCATCCAAATAGCCGATGCTTACGTGGAGCAAATCTCCGCTTACGCTCAAGAAAATAACGATCTCGCTTCTATGGGTATGATCATTTACCTCTCCATTGTGTCATTTTTATTTTGATTGAATTTTTTAATTTTTTGTTTTAATTTTTGTGTATGCACTAGAATGGTATGCGAAGCATGGGAGTATGTATCTGCCTAGGCCTTTAGCCATGTTAAATATACTGTTTAGCGCGCGAGTGAAAATCGAGGACTTGCCATCGAAGACGGACGAGAAGGTGGTGAAGTTGCGGGAGATGGGGTTCCATGTTACGCATGAAGTAGACGATTGGGCCCCCACCGGCGACGTTCTTCTGGTGGAGTCAGCCCTGGATGATGCGAGGCGACTGTGTCAATACGTGCATGTCGACGATGAGCAGCCATCACTAGATTGGGTCCCTAACGGCATTATGGAAATAAGGATGGCGTCGCGACTTTAAACCATGTCACTCCTCCTTGGGTTTATTCCTTAGTTCGAACATTATCACGTACAGAGATTTTGTTTTCACATCATTCTAATTAAAATATTTATCTAATGCGATTCCGATATTATTTTTTCGGAGATAATCAAAATACATATTAGATTCCGGTCCGATTTCAGTTCTGAAATATTTTCAAAAATTCTGCTTATAATATCAATAGTATCAAAATTTTTTCTTCAAAATTCAAGGCCGTTTTAGGGCTTTTGATTTGATGTATCACCATCGATTTACACAGTGGTATGATTTAATTGATATGTGTGTTTAAATGATTAAATGATCTGTGTGTTTTTAGGCGAATGTATGATATGTGTGTTTAAATGATTATTTGTCGAGTATTTTCGATGATCTGATCCCTGAAATCGCTTGAATCTAGAGATTGTTCATGAATCCTTGCGTGATCTGAAAAACCTAACTCTTTTGGTTGATTGACACGATTTGAAGGGTTATTGCTGTAATTTTCTCGTAAATTCAATTGATATCCAGAAGAAAAAAAATTATTTACATTTCATCTTTATATTAGACGCGTGTTGGTTTTTAACGTACTTCTGTCGCAATTTTCGGTTTAATTTTGTTGTTTTTGCTCCTGATATCACCGTGCATAGGAAGTATATTTGATTAGTTTCTGCCTCATGGCTCAAGCCAGATTTAACTCTCAGTGGTATGATTTAATTGATTTTGCAAAAAAAAAAAAAAATGGATTCGTGATGTTTAATTGCTTTCCAAAAAGTTTTTAATGTCTATAACAAGTGCGCGATTCTTTGTCCACAATAGACGTGATCGACAACTCAGCAAGTTGCAGAAGCTTCTAGAGAGGTGGAGGAGCACGTGAACTCAGTTCTGGGACATTCTCAAATGGTTTACGAGCAGTCGAAGGGAATAGCAGCTTCTCAAGTGGAGTTGCAACAAGGGCAGGCCCGAATGAAGGAGAATTTGGCCGAAGGAATGGCTTTCATACAGAGCTCGTACGAGAGTTTGGGGGGGGTGAAATCGTCAATTTGAGAAACGAGGCGGTTGAGATAGACAAGGGGGTTGCCAAAGTTGGGGAAGCAATGTTTTCGAAGACGAGTGTTTTGCGGAACAAAGCTGACGATATCGGTGACATGGCGGCCACATCATTGGATAAACAAAAACAGCTTCTTGGTGGACAGACGGTCGCTCTCGAGGGTTTACATTTTCTCACCAAGTTTCAGTCACAGGCCCTTGAAGAAAGCAGGTAATTTTTACATCTTTGTTTGTATGTGTAATTTTAATGTAATTTTATTGAGTTTGTTCATTTTGCTACATTGAGAAAGTTTATTCATCTATTGTTTGTTTTGCGTGTATCGATAGTATGTTTTAGAGCATTGATTTGTATCAAAATTACATTGGTTATCTATATTTGATTTACATGCTTATGCTTCTATCAATTTGATGGGGATAATTATATCTTTGATGATTACCAACTTTTCTGTCAAAATAGTAGTGACTTTTTTATGTAATTTGTGGACGCGGCTGCATTTGTGCTACAATGTTTCGATTCAAATTGTGGACATCCATCTTTTTTCGTCGAATGTTTCTGCTACCGGAGTTAATATTCTCACTGTAGGGTTAGTTTCATTAATGCATTTAGGTCTTTGACAGATACTAATCGAAACGGTGCATTCTGTAGTGTTTCTTTTTTCTTTTTTCCCTCCCACATCGACGATGAGCAGCCATAGGTCCCTAACGGCATTATGGAAATAAGGACGGCGTTGCGACTTTAAACCATGTTACTCCTTGGATTTATTCCTTAGTTCGAACATTATCACGTACAAAGATTTTGTTTCTCATCATTCTAATTAAAATATTTATCTAAAAGCGATTCCGATATTATTTTTTCGAACATAATGAGAATACATATTAGATTCCGGTCCGATTTCAGTTTTGAAATATTTTCAAAAATTCCGCTTATAATATCAATAGTATTATGTATTTTATATTATAAAAAAGCTGAGATGAATGACTGTGGAGACTGAGGTATATGTCTTCAATTCAAAAGTGAAGAATTTGTTGAATTGCCCTACAAAAAAAAATATTAACAGATTATTCGCAGTCTTAATATAGTTAAACTTAAACCTCTATAAATTAATAAAATTCTATTAGTTTAATATAAGTTATAATGTATATGTATATGGTATGCTGTTCTTAAAAAAAATATTGAAAATTTAACGGCTTTATTGCAATTACTATCCTTGTATTATATAAAATTGCCATTGTTACTGAAGTAGGGTATTAATTGCTAAAAAAAGTAAATTATTAGGGGTTTTTTGCCAATAAAATAATATAGGGGTGGGTGGTTTTTTAAAATATGGATATAACATAGGGGTATTAATTGCAATAAACTCAAAATATTACCGGCGGGAACAGTTAGAGCAGAGTGATCCCGAGCCCCCATTTGATGATCCATCTCTTGGCTCTGTCCTTATCAACCACCGTGATCTGTTTGGTACTCTCCCACGTCGCGATCGTAGTTCTGCGGCGCTGCCGATGAGTATGGAGACTAGGTTTCCGGCGAGCATCGGCGCGTTCCTTCTGGTGGTGTCGAGATTCATTCGGCCGTAAATCACCTGAGTCGTCGTCAGCCGAGAAGTATGAGAAAAAGTGGCGGCGTAGATGTTGACTCCGGTTAGAGCAGTTACCACTGTGGACCCGCCGAGTAGAAGCATGGCGGTTACGATTACCGTTCGTCATGAAGCAGAACGTTTGATCGGCCTATCGACAGCCATATCGCGCAAATGGAACTTGGAACGCTCTGCAGCAACCGCATCCAGTTTCTCCGTGACCTGCTTCATCCTTCTTCCGATTTTGGGCCGGAAGAAGAATTTTCTTCAAGCTATAGCGACTTGATTTGGCACCGTTTTTGTGCTCCAATTTCGAGAGTTGTGTAGCACACTCGTCCAAGATGTCATCAATCTCATACGTAAGATCGTTGAGCTTGAGTAGCCAGTTCTGTATGGATCTGCTTTGAAGTTGCTTCATTTCGGCATGTTCGAGTACAGATTGAATGGTGGTGAGTGTGCTGAAGAGATTATTCATCTCTGCATCAACACCAACAATCAATCCAATCTCACATTTGATCAATGAGCTCAGATTTTCAACAACTATTTGAACCAACGCCTCTGCCATTTCTGAACAAATCAAAACTCAGATCAACGTTGATAAATTTATTTTCTTAATTGTTTGGAGTTTGATATGATGGGGAGCTTATGCAGATCTTGATATATCAAAGTTAATGCATATTTTCTAAATTATCTTCCCATAATTAGTGGAGGTCATTTTCTTGTTTAAAAGAAGAATAAATTCACTTCACATGCAATAATGGTGGAAGAGAGACAAAGCTCACTGACTTTAGAAAAACAAATCATATCCACTAAAATGAACACCACTTCATTACATTACATTCTCAGAACTCTACAAATCTTGTTGAACTCAAAACAAATTTCCACAAATAATTTGTGATATATATTTCACCACTATAAAATCTTTAGGGGGGCCAAAAACAAAAAATTGAAAATCCAAAAGTAATTAAAGAAAGCCCCCATTTCTTTATTATTTACATAATCAACAACAAACAAGCACACACACATTAATCAATCAAACAAAATAATCACAACACAAACAATTAAGTGATTGTTTTATCCTCTTCACCCTTGCACAAACCAAAAAGACCAAGAGTGCTTTTGCACATTCCAACAATCACACTCACTATAGTCTCCCGGCTTTCTATCAACGGCAAAGCAATGATCACCGCCGACGCCACTGTACCCCACGCCACCGCTATCACCGCCCAAAATGTGAAGTACCCCTTGTTGAATTGCCCTACAAAACAAAAAAAATGTTAACAAATTATCCACAATTTTAATACAGTTAAACCTCTATAAATTAATACAGCCGAGACTAATAAAATTCTATTAGTTTAATCTGGAAAAACTAATATCCATGTATTATATCGAATTCCCAAAAAACTACCCTTTGTTACTGAAGCAGGGTATTAATTGCAAAAAAAATATTAGGGGGTTTGTTGCCAATAAAATAATATTGGGGTGGTTTTTAAAATATGGATATAATATAGGGGGTATTAATTGCAATAAACTCAAAATATTACCGGCGGGAACTGTTAGAGCAGGCCACAAAATGACAATGACGAGAGTGAATCCAAGCCCCCATTTGATGATCCATCTCTTGGCTGCGTTCAGCTTCTCCTCCTTGAATTCCTCCTCCGGCAAATCGCTGCTGTCCTTATCAACCACCGTGATCTGTTTGGTGCTCTCCCAATCGTAGTTCTGCGGCGAGATGAAGCTGCACACCGCATGGACGGCGCCGCCGATGAGTATGGAGACTAGGTTTCCGGCGAGCATCGGCGCGTTCCTTCCGGTGGTGTCGAGGTTCACCCGGCCGTAAATCACCTGAGTCGTCGTCAGCCACGTCACGATCCCGCAGACGCAGCCGGTGATGCAGCCGAGGATCGCCCCCGTCGCGTTCGCCTTCCTCCACAGGAGCATGAACGCGATCGGCATCACGGCGGAGCCGATGAACACCCCCATCGCCAGGTACATCCACCCCAGGGAAACGGTGGCCTTGTTCAGAATCACGGCGAGGATCCCCATGAAGCAGCCGAACCCTAGGATCACCGCCCTCGACACCTTCAGGATCTGCTTTCCGGTGGCCGCCGGGTTGACGTACGTTCTGTAGATGTCGTACGTGCACAGCGACGAAACCGCTATCAGCTCCGACGAACCGGCTGACGTCACAGCCCTAATTTCACCATTAAATCGAATTAGGTTTTTTCCTCAATTTAAGTTTTTTCCCCCAATTGAACACTTAATTTTTGAAATTAGGGCTAAAGCTTACATGAAAAGCATGGTTAGAAGAAGAACAGAGCCTGCTTTCCCCATCAAAGCAATGGCGGTTGCCGGAGGTACAAGCCCACGCGCCGCTTCATCTGCAGTAATTGGTAAATCGAGCGCTAATGCTCCAATACCGAGTGATGTTGCCAGAGAGAATGGCACAGCAAACCATACCAATCCTCCTAACAAATACCCCTTGTGTGTTGATGATGGTCTTGCAGCAATTGCACTCACCCAATACCCCTGTAAGTAATTGTAAGTATTCCAATTTATTTATCCAGTTCATCAAATTTGGAAAAAAAGTAAAAAATTGAGTTTGGATGGAGATATATATATACGTACGTTGTCAACGAAAACGGTACCGAAATTGCCGACAATGTTGATAATGCCAAAGACAAGACCTCCGGAACTCAACATTGTGATGTAGGATCCTTTATGGTTGCCGTTAATAGGCCCGCACGATTGGGTGTGGCCAGGAAGGCAGTCTACTCGTGCTTTGCTGGCGACCTGGAGCAAACGATTGTACACGACGGTCGGGCTGCCAAGTTCACTGTTCGATGCGTAGACTAAGTACACGAAGATGACCAAAACCACGTGTACTGCAAAATGAAAATCGAGTATTAACAACGTTACTTTTTCTTGTGGGGGTGACTGAAAAGAAAAAGAAAAAAAGGGGGACTTTCTTGGCAAGAAATGAAAAGTTTATGTACCTATAACGGAATGGATGTAACTTGCCAAGAAGGTGGCTTTTAGCCCTCCGGCAAGTGTGTAGACTATAACACCGAGAGGAATGAGAAAACTGGCGGCGTAGATGTTGACTCCGGTCAGAGCAGTCACCACTGCGGACCCGCCGAGAAGAAGCATGGCAGTTACGATTACGTTCGTCATGAAGCAGAACGTTAGAAAGACTATATGAGCATGAGTTCCCCATCTGAGAAAAAAAAAAGGAAAAAAGGTTCGATTTTTACAAAGATTTTAAAGAAAAACGAAAGCAAAGTAATGAAATTTAGTTCATTATAAGAGACCTTGCTTTCACAATTTCGCAGACGGTGTGAGCGTGGGGCGCTTTTCGTTTGATCTCAATGGCGATTACACCAAATAAGAGCACCTGTTTCATCGGAGCTTATAAGTATATGGCAAGAACAAAAAGGAAATACACTATTTGTAAATTTCGAAAGGAAATACCTGGATTGTGGCGCCACTTGCGTACCAGAAAGGGCCGCTGATTCCGTATTGCCATGCGACGTTGGAGCTTTGCAAGATTGTAGCAGCCCAAGTCCACTGCAGGGGTAATACATTGTAAATTCGAAAACTTAAAAACCAAAATATCGACAAATAGTTTCGAAATATTCGTTACTAGAATTGATATTTTACCTGGGAGACGATCACACTGGCAATTAGCCCTGTCTTGACATTTCTACCTGCCGTGTTGAACCATTCCGACGTGTGGACAGAGCCCACGTATCTCGTTTCCAGCCACACCTAAATCATCAGCACAACAAAATAATAAATTTCTATAATTTTTTTTTTAAAATGTTGTGTTAAATGAATACTAAATGATTTACCAGGAAAGAGGTAAAGACGGCGAAAAAAGCTCCGAAACCGAGAATGACGGCATATCCGACAGCTTGATTGAGCACGGGGTCTTCTCCGAAGAAACTGGCTTGTTTCTTACAGACGCCGTCAACGACATGGTAATACTTTTCGGAGAATGGGAAAGGTGAGCAAGTTGTGGGAGAAGAAGCCATTATATTTTCTGTTACTTTCTCTCTCTATCTTCTCTCTCTCTCTCTCTGCTCAACTGTTTTTGGACATATATCTTGTTTGGGATATATATAGTGAAGCTGTGAACAGTGCAGAGGACGGTTTCTTTCTGGTGACGGAATATACTAAATATCTAATTAGCAATAAGCAAGTCAAACTATGTGCATCTATTTTGATAATGGAGGAATCTATATGTATGGCTGTGATTGTTTTAATCAGTCGCTCTTATTTGTTTTTAGTTTTCTACAGCCAACTCCGAAATAAGACTTTTGTGTTGGTTTTTTTTTTTTTTTTTTTTTTTCAGACGTTTCATTTTAAGACAAAAAAGTCCACATCCCCATACTACTGAGTCCTGCTTCAACGAGTATTAACTAAGTATTTCGTTGCTTTGTGTTGTGCACAACCTTTTGCAAAAAAACAAAATTAAAAACAAATGGGGGAGAGCTTATTTTCATCGGTTGTTGGGTGGAGCTTGTCACACATGGCTGGTCTACTGCGGTTTACGTCTCTCGTATAGTTTGCAAGATATTATACGAGAGTGTTAGTTTACTAGGTGCACCTATATATATGGTTGGCTGTTGGTTTCTTTATTACCAAAAAAAAATGGGGGAGACGAATAATTTGTGATAGTATTAAGAATATACAACAATTCTGGTAGGAAATTAGTTTTTTTTTTTTTCAAAAATGAAAAACAAGAAAATAAAAAAAAAACCCGGGAAAATTGAAATTTTGAAAACTAAAATAAAAAAGTTGTTAGTGAAATTTTCGTAATTTGTCTGGGAGTTTGTTGAAACAAAAGTTTGATCGAAAATCAGAACAAAAACAAATTGTTCTGAAATTCAAAATTTTCAGATCACAATCTGCACAATTCAAAAATTTCGTCCCAATTTCCATCCCTAACTACAATCGCGATATCATGATCGAGAGCTAAAATATGGTTCAAATCACGATCTTCCTACTTTTGATTGGTACACATAATTTGGTAATTTGTTGATTTATTTTTATTTTTTTAAATGTAACAATATATTGCAATTTGCATCATCATCATCATAAATCAATCATAGTAGAAAAGTATTATGTATTCTCAAGTACATGCATATGATATTAATCTGTGTCACTAATTTGTCACCACGATTGAAACTGTCTGCTTGATAGCTAGAATATATGGAATCACTCTAGCCAATCATCTTTCAGATAATTAAATACAACTGATATATATATATATATAAGTTGGCTTATATATTCATTTGACTTTAGTATATTCCATGTCAAACCTCTGTATAGCTGTTGATACTTGATACTTTAATATATTTATTCATTAAAAAAAAAAAGATACTTCAATAATAAGATCTATATAGTTAATTGAATATTTGAGCAACATAAAATAAAATAAAAGAAGTAGTTAATTGAATAAACATAAGAAAATGAATTCATCAATTTGCTTATTTATTTATTAATTATTATTGCTGGAGGAATGAGTTTGGTGGCTCTTCATGTATTATTATTATTCACTAAACACTATTGTTGTTTCGCCGCATCACAATTAGTGTGCAGAAACTAATCACCTGGTATTTTATTAGAATATCGATAAATTAATAATTTCACTTAAATAATAATTTCTTATGATCCTGACTTGATAAAAAAAATACTAAATTATTAGTTTGATAATTCAATATTTTGTTAAAATTAATAGAATTTTGTTCTAACTGTATTAATTTATAAAAGTTTAACTGTGTTAGGATAATTATTACACCATATATATGTTGTTTTTTAATTTAATGGCATTTGCACTTTTCTATGATGAATAGAAATAGGAAATGACGTCATGTATGAAATCAGAGACAGCAAAGTGAAAGGGAGGAACAAGTGGAAGATAGTTGACTATAATTATGATACTAATTACTCCTAATTACAGATTAATATCAAGTGGGTTTAATTGGTATTTAATTAATAATTAATATTAATTATAGACAGACTGTTCAGTTTCTTTTCTAATCATAGAAACTTCAATTGGTACCAATTTCCAACTTCGACGTGACATTTCTATTTCAAGAAGCAATTGAAGTCAACTTGTATTTCTTATCCAAAAATAAAAAGTCAACTTGTATTGATCAGCACAATCATATGACATGTCACACGCTCAAGTTCATTGTAATATCAATTTGTTGGTGAACATCAACCATCTTGCTTCAAATGCAATATAAATATTATTTTTTTTAAATTAATTAAAAAAATATATTTTAACCATGGAATATTTAGATGATATGAAAGAAACAATTACAACATATATTAGTTAATTTTGATTTTGTTGAATGACATCTTAAACAATTACAACATATATTAGTTAATTTTGATTTTGTTGAATGACATCTATGAATGCATCTATTGCAAACATTGAACTAGATGGAAAACCAACGCTAAGTTTTGCGCGAATAACTTCCGCTCGTTTACGAACATCTTCATCCGTCATTAACTTATCTATTCCGCTGATTAGGTCATCCTTCGTCATTTCATTTGTGCAACTAGGCAAGGCCATGTAGCCAATCCTGAGATGGTTCGCCACTAGCTTTGCATTATAAATCTGATCACCCCTAATAGGCCACGCTAATATCCGGACCCCACATCCTACAGCTTCCATAGTCGAATTCCATCCGCAGTGTGATAGAAACCCTCCTGTCGAAGGATGGCTTAGTATCAAGAGTTGTGGGGCCCACCCTCTTACAATAAAACAGCGATCGTCGATTTTCTTATCGAGATCGTCGAGAATATTCCGTATTATTGAAGTACCATTTAGCACCACCCAAATAAAGGAATATGCCATTTCTTCCAATGCACAAGCTAATTGCAAGATTTCTTGATTAGTAGGGCTAACTTCACTACCAAATGCTACATAAAGGACAGATTTTTTGGGTTTGTTGTCTAACCATTGTAGTATTTGGTCTTCATTGTAGTTACTTTGGTTCTTATTGGGTTGTCTAATTTGAAAACCTTGGATCAACGAATTGGGCTTTGACCAATTTTGACTTGGTAGGAGTGGGGCCCACTCCCCATACCGGCAGGCCCCATTTGATTGGCTAAGTATGTGATGAATGTGTGCTCAAGATATTCACACGTGTTGAACATCAAGGCGATCGAGCCCTCCACCAATGGGACCCACGGAGGGAGGTCGCCGGGCTGAGGTGGACCGCCGCCGTCGGCGGCGGCGGCGCGTGGGGGATGATTACGCCTGCGTGCGAGGTCATGATAAGTGATGTTGGTTTCTATCGGTAACCCAGGTATGAGGTGGATCTCGCCGGGGCTGAGATGAAGACTGCCTCCACCGAGTGACTTCACGCGCCCCACTCCATGGCGGCGGC